CATGCTTGCATCCGACCCACACCTCCATGCTTGCATCCGACCCACACACCTACAGCTTTGAATCTTTCTTGACGTTTTGGGTTGTGGACATAGGTCAAGAGCTGGTAACAAAAGTACTCCCTCTGTACAGTTTCTTCGACTTAATTTCTCTCATCTCTCTCTTCAGGTTTTCAAAGAGACCAAGCAAAAGAGAGTGTCTGTTTTAGAACTGAGTAGTACTTTTCTACCTCAGTGCAACCGGCAGAAACTCCTAGAGTATATTCTGAGTTTTGTGGTGCTGTAGGAATCTCTCAGCACCTATCTCGAGCGAGGAGCTAATGAGTCCCTTGCAGACTCCAGTCTGACCCAGAGTGCCAGGTGTCCTGGCATGGCCCAGCCTGCTCTACCCCGAGGAGACTTCCAGGAAGACACGTGCCTTCTGCCCCTGTGGACCTGCGCTCCTCCCAACACAGATGCAGTGGCCTGCGCAGAGCACTTGGGGCCAGTGCCATCTGTTATTCATGATCACTAGGTTACTAGGTGAGATCTCAGTAAGTTATTTTGGAGTTTATTAAAGATTCACATTTTAAGTATAACTTTTCAGGCTAGTTACTGTGATGGACATTGAGATGTTTGTAGAACTGACTCTTATGTAGTAAGTAATAATGTTTCCTTTAAAATCATTGGGTCATCCATTCTCTGTCTCCATTATCGCTGTCAACGGAAGTTATGGTCTGTATGTGAGCCCTTTCCTCTCACGTGCTTTACTAAGGAGCAGTGTTGTCCTGGGCTGGCAGACGCAAAGTGTGTATGAATAGCTGCCAAAAGCAGACGATGCTGTGAGGAAAGAGCCAGCGTCAGGAAGCAAATCTGTGCTTGGCTGGGAAAGTGGCATTAAAGGCTTTGCTCAGGTGACAAGAGTGCCATTGAGCTGTAATGACCACAGTGTCTGGAGTCCCTGCTGCTGACACCTGTACCCTCCTTGCCCGTGGAGTGACAGGCACCTGCTGCTTTTAAGGAGCTCGGCTGCAGCGCTTGCTGGCTTGTGGCACTCTGGCTACACACTGCTGACACAGGGGTTCCGAACACTGCTCACACACTGGGTGCTGCGGCCTGTCTGGATGGCTAGTAGCCAGATGGTGCATTGTGCAGCCTGTGTGACATGTACAGTGACCCTACTGAGTGGCCGGTGGTTGGAGGAATAGACATTTGTATGGGTGACATACAGACTTCATTGCTACGTAAAGGTGAGGAACTATTGAACAATTTCTGTTTTAGTGGGTAGGTGCCTTTTTGTGAGCAAGGAGCATAATTGTTAGTTATTTGTGGTAATTATAGCAGTTTCTCAATGATCACGTGACAATACAATCTCTGTCTACTCTCCATATCTTTGATTTTAAGGAATTATGAATTTTTCTGATGAGTGTTATGTAGATGATTTGAATTTATAAAAGTATTAGGGATGAGGTTTGTACTTTCCTGAACTTGAATTTCAAACACTAATTGTATCCTGTGAGTGACGTGTGTGTTGGGGGAGGGAGGGGTCCCGCCTGGCATTACACAGTGCGTGAAGTGGCTGCTCTGGAGCTCGTAGCGACAGTGCTGTGCTGTGGTGACCTCCACCCTTGCCTTGTGCATGGCACGTCTCCTTTTCCTTTGCATCAGTTCTCTGTCAGCTGTAGCCTTTGGTGTGGAGTGAGGTGTTCACCTTCAGCCTCTGCATCACTAACTAGGGTAGGCTGACACTTCCCTTAGCTGTACTTTGGGGGACACCCGGGGAGTCTGGTTTAATCCCTTGGGTTTACCTCATCTGGGGACCTCATTTTCTTGGTCTCGGTTCTTTCTTTACCCTCTAAATGGAAACTGAAGGCGGCTCCCTCTGCTCTGTCAGTGGGTGTTGCTGCCCTGCCTGCCAGCTCTGCAGATAACCACTGCTCCCCAGCCTGTGCAGAGACATGCGCGGCCCTTGTCCCTCGCTGTGTTCTCCCTTTTGGTAGGTGTTCCTTTATGGACTGCAGTTTACTTGCTGTTGCCTGACAATTAACTCACTGTGAGGATAGGTATGCACGCTTTTCATAATTAACTGGTGCTTTGAAACTTTTCATGAGGAAGAAAAAATCTCAACCAAAGTTATGCTCTTCCTGACAAGCTGACCCTTGAGTTAATTTTAGCACAACTCATTCTTCAGTGCCTCTTTATGGAAGAGAAAAGCATCACAGTAAGGCTTCAGGTAGCCCTGTTCCCTAAGAGAAACGTCCCCTTGTTTTCCAGCAGTGGGTGGCTTCCTCGAATGACTAAACAAACTAGGTGCTTGTATATAATTGATTACAGTTTACTCTACTGCATTTCTGTCAAATTGAAATGCATGCCCTTCAGGGGAGACTGTGAGTCAAGTTTAATAAATAAAAACGTAATACTAAGCAATATGAAGCTGCGCTCTGCTTTTAAGCGAGGCTAAACCAAGTAAGTCAGAGGGGAGGGTGTGTGCTCTCCAAATCCTAAGGAAAATGAAGGCAAAAACAAGTGTTAAGTCAGCTCACCGGGAACACACTCTGCCCATCCTGACTCTGTTAAACCGTGGAAGTCAGGAGGCCGAGTGCAGACAGTGTATCTGGGATGGCAGGGAGTGGAGGCTTGGCCAGGAGTTCCTGCTGCCGCCTCCCTCGGTTCCGCCTCCCTCAGTTCCGCCTCCCTCGGTTATGTAGTGTTTGGATCATGTGATGCCCTGAGACGGGGATCTGTGGGAATACACAGCGCCCTGCACATAGCGTTTCCCAAACTGTTTGGACCTCAGGACCTTTCCCCTCTGGGACACTGCATGCCATGGAAAACGTTTTCAGAAACTACATTAATCTTTCTTTAAGCAGACCAAATGTCACGGTAGTGACAGGCAGACTCCTGCATGCTTTTTTTAATCTCTCACAATGCACCGCGTGCTCGATATCTTTCCTCACTGGAAAGAGTAAGCACAGGAAACGGGCTGCAGCGCCTTCCTTGTGGAAGATCTACTGGCAACCCTGGCCTTTTTAAAACTGAGAGTAGCAGAATTAATAGAGGAATTAATTGAGGTAAATAATAAAGGATTTAATTCAGATCTAGTAGAAAACTGCACAGCTGAATGCAGATTTTTATCCATAGATAACCGTAGTGTTTTGAAATGATAGGCCCAATCTTTGAAGTTTCTAAGACTTACTATGGGATGTAAATCTGTTTTTTAAAAACACTTTTTAGGGGCTTGAGAGCTGCCACCTGGCACTTAGTTTAGTATGACCAGTGACTGCTTCAAGAGACTCTTGACCTTGCTTCCCAACAGCTAAAGGGCTAACTGTCTTTATGGAAGGCATTTGTTACAGTATTTGCCCATTGTACAAAGCAATGCTAGATTGTTGTAAAAAGAATGACTACTGTAAAATAGCACTGTATGATTTTGTGAGTGACACTGCCTTTGAAATGGTGACTGATTTTTATGCCTGATGATGGTTCATCCTGAGAAGCATGGAATGGAGCTTTGTTTTAATAAACCATAAAAAAAAAAAACTGACTCTTTTAATGTCTTGGATTTGTTGTTAAGACTTTTGCGTTACTCATTTTGCCCTGTTTGTTTAACTTCACAAAGAACGTTGTTAAAAGGTTAGGATGTAACCTGACGTCAACCTGTGGGTCGCCCAGCCATGATTTTATAGGCTCACATTCCTTCAACCTTGCAGAAGCATTAGGCGGTAGGGATGCCTGCTCACATCACAGAGATAGTCTGGTTTCTATGGACTCCTTCAGTGTGCTTCCTGTTCTCTGCTTTCATAGATATTTAACTTCACAGAAAAGTACAACGAAGTCCTAGATTTCCCCACTAGTTATAATAGTTGCTCAAAACTAGTACCATATTTTTTTAAGAATAAAGAATTTACCTTATAAAAAAGCTCAGATGCTTTGTAGCTCCTTTGAATGTACCCGGATGTGGTCTGCCCTGGGACTGAATCTGGGGATGGTGGCAGACAAAGGCATGATGGCCATGCACCTACCCTTCGAGTCCCCGACAGTTCCGAGCTGTGGATGCGGGAAGTGTTTGTCTGCATCCGCAGACACCCAGTCCTATCTATGTCCCTGCGTGGAAGTTCTCTTCCACCAAAGGTACGAGGTTGACTCAGTTTGAGAAAGTACATCTAAAATGGGCTGAATTCAGCTTTGACTCCTGGCATCTTCACTTTCGGGGCCTTTCTCTAAAAAGGTGTATTTTGCTTTTCTCATCTGTCTACTCAGGAGGATCTGTTTCAGTTTCAGATTTCTAGATGCTGTTTTTGTGATTAAAAACCTTAGCACTCAGAAGATAAGCTTTATATGATAGTAAAATGTTGCGCCTGAAATTACTGACATGTCACTTTGGGGGTGAGGTTAATCTCTGGGTAATGGTAAGTCCTGTTTAGTTTCTGTTGTCAACCGGATACAACTTGAGAAGAGGGGATCCTCAACTGAAGAGTTACCTCCATCACATTAGCCTGTGGCTAGCTTTGAGGAATTGTCTCGTGTTGATTGAGGCGTGAGTAACACTGTAGACGGTCCTGGGCTCTGTAAGAAAGCCAGCATAGCACGAGCCGGTGAGAGAGCCAGCGAGCAGGTTCTTCAGTTCCTGCCCCGAATTCCCTCAGCAGTGGACTGTGACCTAGAAGTCTAAGCTGAAGCAAACCCTTTCTTCTCCAAGCTGCTTGTGATCAGAGTGTTTTATCGCAGTGACAGAAGGAGACTGGAACAGTGTGCTCGCTGTCAGTGATGGGAATCTGGGTTTGGGTCTCAGCACTGATGTAAAAAGTCAGGCATGGCTGCAAATGCATGTGACCCCAGTGTTGTAGATGGTGGGGACGGGAAGATCACTGGACCTTGCTGGCTTCCAGCCTCGCTCCCAGTTCAGCAAAGATCCCATCTTAAGGGAACGAGGGGGATGCTGATAGAACAGGACACCTAGCGTCTTCCCCTGGCCTCCACATGGGCTCATCTGTACACACGTACAAATACCATATGCATACACCACACACACAGACACACAAAGTGGGGCAGGGGGCGTTAGAGTCTGTGAAAGAACATGGTGGTCACTGATCATGGGGTTTCGGGCCAAACCAAGTGCCTTCGACAGGATGCCACTTCTTGATGTGTTCTGGAATGCTGCTAAGAAGGGACAAAACAGAACGTTTAAATGCTTTGCTACTTAAGGTAATTCCTTGACAAGATCTTTAGTCATAAGTTCAACAAAGATGCAAATTAGAGTTAGTAATTGCTTACATGGCTTTGGGCACACGATTGAATTCTCCCTTTTCTAAGTCGGAGCTAATAAAAGCAACTGCCAGGTAAGTCCTTCAAAGCCTCAGAAGTGTAATTTATATTCAGCATGAAAATGAGCTTTTACTATACTGGGCTTTCTTGGGCTTTGAAAATGGATTCAGAAGGTCCCTTACCTATTTCTGCTTGTCTACTGTGACAGTCACCTGTGGGGGAGCTCCTGGACCCATCTCTTTCTGAATCTTCCTGCAGAGGATAGTCTTGGCCTCTGTCCAAAGTGCTGGTGAGCCAACATGTCATGCAAGACCTTCAACTCATAAGCTGGAACTGACCAGTTACACACAGCCTAGCTTCGCTCTCAGGAATGTTCTGGGGGTCCTGGTGCTACTAGGCTTCTGTTGCCCACAAGTTACTCATTCATTAACAGTCTTCCTGTTCTCCATCCTGCCTCCCATGGTCAGTCCCGGCTGTTCCTTCCCGGTGTCTGCTTGTGGAGCTCTCCTATCTTGACTGGTTCTAGGAACACCAAGCAAAGACAACCTTTACTCTTCACTAGACTATGCTGAGCTGACTCATCCCCGATTTTGGATGAGTGACATGAGAGCCCCATGAGAAGAGAGTGATGGAGAGGTCTCTGTTATTTCGTTGGGAAAGGTCTGCTTACAATGGTTGGAGATAGCAAAATTGAGATTAAATGTGCAGGAAGTGCTAGTACTATCCAGAGCCAACCTTCAGAGCATGGGAAGATCAATACAAGTGCTAAGCCCTCCCTTCTCCCTGAGCAGCACTATGTCTCCTAGGGGACAAAGACCATACCCAAGAAAAGTTCCCTAACAACACTACACTTGGATGAGTTGGTTCCAGAGCCTGCCTGGCTGCTGTGGGAACTGGGGAATGACGGGTTCTCATCTAAGACACACTCAGTCTTTAAGGAAGGGGAAGAACAGATAGTTTAAATGCAGTCTCAAAATTTCCATGAATAGAGTTTGACAGACCAATAAATGGCTCTATACAGGATCTGTATGTTGTCACACCACTCTGGTGACATAGAGGCTCCAGGCTGATCAGTTTGCCCTTGACTTTTCAAGCAAATACAGCATTGTTTCTAAGCTGTTAGGTGATTTTCTTTTCTTGTAAACTTTTGGCTGTGGTTAACATTGTTAGGTCCACATTCCTGCCTGGGATTGGGGGTTGGTGGGGAACAGTGGTGTGTGTCTTTCTATCCCCGAGTTTGCCCGTGCCCCATCCCAAGGGTCATTTGATCACGGGGCTTGGGCACTTGTTTTGTTTTCGAAAACAGCCAGTGGTGTGTCTCTAGATGCACAGGCTTTTAAAATGGAGGACAGCAGCCCTTTGAGTTGGTAGATGGAGCAGTCTGCTCTTTGCAATTTGCTTTTTTTTTTATTGGATATTTTATTTACATTTCATATGTTATCCCCTTACCCCATCCCCCACCCACTCGGGAACCCCCCATCCCCTTACCCCTCCTCCTTCTTCTCCGTGGATGTAACCCCCTCCTACCCCCCCACTCCCACTTCCCCACCCTCAAAATTCCCACCCCCTGGGGCGTCCAGCCTTCATGAGGTCAAGGTTCTCTTCTTCCACCTATGCCCAGCAGGGCCCTCCACTCTTACATATTCAACTGAAGCTCTGGATCCCTCCCTAAGTGCTCCCAGGCTGGTGGTTAGGACCCTGGGAGCTGTGGTTGGTTGGTATTGTTGCTCTCCTCATGGTGCCACAAACCCTTTCAGCTCCTTCAGTCCTCACTCTAACTCCTCCATTGAGAACCTCATGATCAGTTCAATGGCTAGTTGTGAGCATCTGCCTCTGAATATGTCAGATTCTTGAAGACCTCTGAGGAGACATCCATATCAGGCCCTTATCGGCATGCACTTCCTGACTTCCACATCAGCATCTACCTTTGGTGACTGCACATGGGATGGATACTCAGGTGGAAAGGTCTTCAAATGGCCCCTCCTTCAGTTTCTGTCCCTCACTTTGTCTCCATATTTGCTCCCTTGAGTATTTTGTTGCTCCTTCTAAGAAGGACTGAATCACCCCCACTTGGTCTTCCTTTTTTATGAGCTTCATGTGGCCTGTGAGTTGCATCTTGGGCATTTCAAGGTTCTGGGCTAATATCCAATAATCAGTGAGTGAATACCATGTGTGTTCTTTTGTGATTGGCTTACTTCACTCAGGATGATAATTTCTAGTTCCATCCATTTACCTAGGACCCTCTCGAATTCATTGTTTTTAATAGCTGAGTAATACTCCATTGTGTAAATATACCACATTTTTTGAATCCATTCCTCAGTTGAAGGACATCTGGGTTCTTTCCAGCTCCTGGCTATTATAAATAAGGCTGCTATGAACATAGTTGAGCATATGTCCTTGTTATATGTTCGAGCATCTTCTGGGTATATGCCTAGGAGTGGTATAGCTGGATCCTCAGGTAATGCTATGTCCAATTTTTTGAGGAACCGCCACACTGATTTCCAAAGTGGTTGCACCATCTTGCAGTCCCACCAACAATGGAGGAGTGTTCCTCTTTCTCCACACCCTCGCCAGCATCTACTATCACCTGAGTTCTTAATCTTAGCCATTCTGACTGGTGTGAGATGGAATCTCAGAGTTGTTTTGATTTGCATTTCCCTGATGACTAAGGACACTGAACATTTCTTTAGGTGCTTCTCGGCCATTCAAGTTTCTTCCGTTGAAAATTCTTTGTTAAGCTCTATACCCCATTTTTTAATAGGGTAATTTGGTTGTCTGGGTCTAATTTCTTGAGTTCTTTGTATATATTGGATATTAGCCCTCTATCAGATGTAGGATTGGTAAAGATCTTTTCCCAATTTGTTGGTTGTCGTTTTGTCCTATTGACAGTGTCCTTTGCCTTACAGAAACTTTGCAATTTTATGTAGTCCCATTTGTTAATTCTTGATCTTAGAGCATATGCCATTGGTGTTCTGTTCAGGAACTTTTCCCCTGTGCCCAAGTATTCGAGGGTCTTCCCCACCTTCTCTTCTATTAGTTTCAGTGTATCTGGTTTTATGTGGAGGTCCTTTATCCACTTAGACTTGAGCTTTGTACAAGGAGATAAGAATTGGCAGGATTAATATAATAAAAATGGCCATCTTGCCAAAAGCAATCTACAGATTCAATGCAATCCCCATTAAAATCCCAACTCAATTCTTCACAGAGTTAGAAAAGGAAATTCTCAAATTCATATGGAATAACAAAAAACCCAGGATAGCGAAAACTATTCTCAACAAT